GAGAGAGAGAGAGAGAGAGAGAGAGAGAGAGAGAGAGAGAGCTGTCATTGTCTCTCTTTTGTGGTGCCAGGTATCAAACTCCTATCTCATGGATACCAGGTAAACCTTCTACCACAGAATTGTACTCCCGGTCAAGAACTAATACATTTACTGTGTGTTTAAACCTCACCACCACAATTACCATTAGGGGCAAATAATTCTGGAAGAACCATGGCCACAGATGTACATATCAATCAGGATGAGAGGCACAGCCACACTGTGGTGAGGGAAGTAGGCTCAGAGGACAGTGGTTGTGTCTGCTAGAAGCTGAGGGATAGACAGAGGGATGTCACTCACAGAGATAAGATTTTTCAGCTCTCTAGCACAGGAAGTCATATTAATACACGGGAGCCAGAAGGCTCCATGCACAAAGTCTTAAGGAGGAAACTCTCTTGACTCGTTGTTATGAGTGTATGCATGCTAAAATATCACACTGGCCTTCCTGAGGGTGTGATTAGCTTAAGTCTGTGGTAAGTTAAAAACCTTCAGTGTTTAAGGAGACATCAGCACTGACCTGGTTTGACTTTCACACACGCTGTTTTCAAACTTTCGTTTGATGTTATATGAAATCTGAGGCCAATCACGTAATTTTTAAATGGGGAGCCAACATTGGGGGAAATTCTCCCCCTGGCCTTAATCTTCCCTTTAAGAACACCCCAAGAAGACTGAAGCATGAATAAACACACAGAGGAACTTGAAAATTATTCTAGCTCTGCTGTCACGCTTCTAAATCTATCCGGCTTATTTCTGTGAAGGGGCAGTTATAAACAGCCAATGGGAGAGTCTGTGTTCAAGTCTGCATGTAGGAAGACAATGGCCCTAGCAACCTGGAAACTCATGCTCTGATGTCCAAAAGCAGCCTCAGACAGGCTATGCATAGAAGAGACAACTCGAGACACAAGAAACCAGTAAAGGGACCTCTGCCTGGCTCCCTTATCCCCATTAGGCTACCCAGGTGATACCTTGCAGAAACCATCACAGCAAGGTGACTTTTACCATCAGAGGACAGAGGAAGTGTCCTAATGAAGGTGACAATCTACCTAGAGGCCTGGAATACAGAAAACCAGCCACAGGGAAGGTCAGGCCAGCAAGCAAGGAGAAAGTCAGTGGGCAACCTTCACTCTGCTGGGTACTCTCCACATAGTCAATTACACAGGATTTTTTTTTAAAGGCAAGATGAAAAATAACTTACTGTGCAGGTAATTAATTCTGGTTGGCATAGTGATCCTCTTAAGTTAAAGGGAATGAGCACAAAATGCAGAGATGTTGAGAGGCAAAAAGAAAAACACGGGAGAGCAGAGTCAGAATGAAAGTTAGAGTTTGGAATCACCGTATCACAGTGCACACACATGCTCACACACTTGCACACATGTGTATCACATGCACACATGAGTGCATGTGCACACACATGCACACATAAGCACAGACTCACACACATGCTCACATTTACATATATGTGCACACATGTCACATATGCACACACATATATATGTAAACATAGACAGTCATGCTCACACTTGTACATGCATGTACATGTATATGCATTTTTGAGCACACACACATGCACACATGCACACATGCAAGGTCGCCATCCAAGATATTTGGCAACATTTCTTTCTAGTTTTTTTTTTTCTTTCTCAAATCTCTCTAGGGGCCTTTGTGATGAACACAGATAGGGTAAAATTTACCACCCAGACCTATGTGCATGGTTCCAGTGGGCTCATCACACAACTGCAGCAGTACTTTTTTTTTTTTTTTAAGTGCTAGGAACAAACCCAGAACCTCACACATGCTACACAAAACACTCTACCACTGAGCTACAATTCCAGTCTTGCAGATGCTTTCTGAACTTAAAATAGGTTGGATTTGGGGAATCAATTTTCTGTTTTGGCTGAAGTATCATATAAATTCCCAGGCAGCAAGAGTCCAGGAGAATTCCAGTCCCACAGGCTCCCTCCAAAGCCTCCAACACTCCCCGTTATACTAGAAGATGCAGGTGATGCAAGTTATGTGTAAACCTTAGTTTAAAACCAAACACAGGGTTGGAGAGGTTAAGAGCACTGGCTGCCCTTCTTGCGGACCCAGGTTCCAGTCACAGCACCTACATGGCGGCTCACAACCACCTATAATTCCCATTCCAGGAAATGGAACACTGTCTTTTGGCCTCTGCAGGCATGCAAGTGATGCCCAGACAAAACATCCATACACATAAATTAAAAAAACAAAAACAAACAACTAACCCCCACCAAACCAATCCCTGTAGCACCATTTATGAAAAAAAATGGCATGAAATGAAAATGGTTTGACAATCAGTTTAGACCTATTTAAGATTCTGCCAACATCTCAAGTTAAGCACAACGCTTCTAGAAACTGCAGGATAAAAACTAAGCATGTATGTGTGTGGGGGGGTATGTTGCAGGTGTATTCACCTGTACATCTGTGTGGACGCTAGAGGTTAATATGGGGTGTCTGCCTCCATTTTTCTCCACCACAGTTTTTGGCAGAATACCCCATTAAACCTACAGCTCATCAACTGGCTAGTCTGGCTAGAGAGCACTCCAAGGATACTTACATCTCAGTCTCCCATTGGCCCCGGGATTACTGATGTATATGCTTTTGCATGGGTGCTGGGGATCTGAACTTGGTTCTTCATGCTTGCACAGTAAACACTTTACCACTAAGCATTTCCCTACATCCCCCACCACCACCACCACCACACACACACACATTCTCTGAAACATGGTCTCATCATTTAGTTCTGGCTAGCCTGAAATTCACCATGTATACCAGGCTAGCCTTAAACTCAAAAGATCCTCCTGCCTCTGCCTCTAAAGTACTGGTATTAAAGGCATGTTCTACCATGCCTGAGCCCTACAAACAATTTTTAATACATTGCCAAATATTTTATTTCAGAAATTTTTAGGTCAAGGCATTTCAAGGACCCATGGGCAGGTGCAACCTCAGCTCCCAGAGAAGCCAGGAATGAAACACATAGACCAGTCAAACATGCTTGGACCTCCCCCAGTGCCCAGCCTCTGGGGAAGCTCTCATGCATAGAGGCTGCTTCCAGCCCCCAGAGGATGTGACAGACACTCAGACTCATAAGAGACATTCATCTGTCTGGCCAGTGAGTGGAGGAGGAGAAGGATGGTAGGTGCACAGCAAAAGGGTACCCCAAGGGAGGCCAAAGCTATCAGGAGCAAAAAAGGCTAGAGGAAAAGAAAGCAGCAGTGGATGGATTTGGGGATGGGGTGGGGTGGGGGTGGGGGTGGGGATAGGCTTGGGATCCCTGAGAAACCTGGAGGACACAGAGAGAGAAGTCTGGGTTCTATAGGAGCATGAGAGTATAGACTATTGACTCAAAGAAGTGGAGCACAGGATTTACCCCGGTTCCTCCCTGCTCACTGACTTCTCCAGCAACCTCCCAGAGGCTTCTTTAAGACCAGGTCAGAGTGTGTACATAGAGTAGCCAATAGCTAGTCCACCTAATGCCCTGGGCCACAGCTCATCAAGAGAGGATACAGAGTTTAGCTGAAGGTCCCCAAGGCCAGGCTGTGGGAAACAGTCTGGGTGGTATGAAATCTTCCTCCAGGAACACCCTCTTTCTTTATTTCCTCTTTTAATGCCCAGTCATCGTACCCCCTGTCAGTCCCCACTTGGTACTGGCAAAGGGCACAGGCAAGCAGCTAACCAACAATGGCTAAGGGATGAGCAAAGGAAGAGTAGATCACCCAGGGCAGGTTCTTAACCTCAGAACCTGGGACTTGTGTTAGGTTGTGTGGTGGTGCCTGTGCTATGCTCCCTAAAGATTGTGGTACCTGTTGCCTCTACCCCCTAGGGGTCACTAGTACCCCATTTTACGGTTGTGACATCACAGCTGTTGGCAGACATTACCTATGTCCTCCATGAGGCAAAACTGCCTAGCAGGAGATCCCACCCGTCCCTAGCAGAAGTAGCTGGTCAGGATTCCTAACCCTGGGGTGGCTAAGCTTTCTGTACAGTGCATTCCAAGGAGGTCCTGAGAACTTTGCTGGAGGGAAATGGGCCCTGGAGCCCCAGATATAAGGCAGAGCTAGGAGTGGATACTGAGTACCACCACAGCTACTGGTTTGACTGAGGTGCCTCCCTCAGCCCTCACTTTTCAAGGACTTGGGCAGTAAGTAAGGATGGTCCCCAGGTCTTGGAGGTGAGTCTCAGCGAGTCTGAAGTCTCTAAGTCCTGGAGATCTTCCCAAAGGTGAGAAAAGGTCTGGGTCCAAGTGTCCACGCCCAAGAAATGTCAGGCTCTGAAATAAGGTCACGTTGCTCATGGGAAAGAACTGATTGAGCTAACAAAGACTTCGTTACTATGAGTGTATCAAGCCAGTGAGTAGTTACTCTGGGGGTTTCTTTCCTTGTAGATCCTACTGATTCCAAGTGGTGATGTCTGGTTTTGTTCTAGATGGAGGAAGAGATTCAAGGAGCAAATAAGGTGAGCTGCCAGTCTCTGCTCACTTTGCTCTGTCCCTGCACACCATGGCACCTAGCTCCTTGTGACACTTTGAAGCCTTGGAGCGCTCTGCTTCCAGATGGAGAGAGCCAGACAGGGAGGGTGCTTAGAGGCCTGAAAACACAGTGGCCCCCAGATGAAGAGATGAAGCCCCAGATACTCACATGCAGGCTTTCTACCTGCCTTCTAGCTCTCAATTGCTGAGCAGGCTTAGAGGGAGGGGATGAAGCCAGGACAGCCTCATAGAGGGTAGAAGGAAGGGAGGCCAGTGAGGGAGCCCAAGTGAAAAGCTGGGGTGGGGGGTTGAGAACAGGTACCTTTATGCTTCTTATTGGCTCCAAGCTCCAAAGCACTCAAGGAGCTCTCTGACAGTTCGTCCCCATCTGGTTCCTGTAAGGCTGAACTGCTCCATGCTGCTGCTGGGGATTCTTTCTCTAGGTCCCAGGAGTCTAGATCATTCTCTCTAGGCTTGAGGGCAGGTAGGGCCTGGGCTGGCTCATCATCTTCAGGTGGGGTAGTGGAAGAGGCTGCAGTGGCCTCTGGAGAGCACAGAGTGGATGAGGCATCCCCTTGGTTGGTGCTGTCCATAGAAGCTGCATAGTCCAGCATGAGGGCAGCATTGTGGTCCTGAGACAGTGAGGTCTGTCAGGGGAGATGAACAACAGAGGCTGAGGGCAAATGAAAAACCTACCCAGGGATGTAACGAGAGCACATGGCAGGCAGGGAAGGCTTGAAACCACCTCAATATTGCCTTCCAAGGCATTGTGACTAGAAATACCAAGCAGTAGCAGGGACAGCTAGCCCAAAGAAGGCTCCTGTGCTACATGGTAAATGCCTATAAAACAAACAAGTTTCCATCTTAGCTGAGACTCAGAGCCACACAAGTCCTTCAGAGGTGGTCTAGAGGGCACAGGCTGAGGGTGCTGGAGAAGAACTCACACACTTCTCACTGCAGACCTATCAGTAAGGAAGCCCCAGAAGGTGAGTGGCAAGGACTAGCACTTTTTTCAAAGCAGACAAAGTATAAAGCAGCAAAAAGCATGAACTTGGGCAGATTTATTCTTTTACAACTTTGTTACCAAGCACTTTTCTTTCTGTCTCAAAGTAGAGATTAACCAGGAGATGATGTGTTCTTTTAAGACTGTATTTGTTTGTAAAGTTATAGCACTAAACGAACAAGTAATGTGGAAAGCTGGGACAGTGGTTCCACAGATGGACTGACTGAAAGGGGCTGCAGCCATGCTGCTCTCAACCAGGGTGGCAGTCACACAAGTGGCTTGGCTAAGTGACAGTTGACAGATGAACCAGCTTACAGAAGTGCATGGTGACTACCAATGCAACAGTCTGCATGCCAATAAAATTAATAATCAAAGTGTTCTATGGGTATTAAATATGAAGATTATCTGATGATTCTGAAGCAAAGCCAGAGAGTAGAGAGGAGACGATCACGGGTTATCTTCATCTTATGTACTTATCTAACACAGACTGAATAAAAACTTCCACAATTTGGCCTTGTTGGCCCCAGAAATCTGACCCTTACACCCTGGTGGCTGAAGAAGCTAACCCAAGAAGAGACACCCCTGCCTTGGTGTTCAACGCCACCCATGAGCTTTCTCTTGGAGTCCTGGGCCCAGGCTACCCATATATTGTGTATATCACCATGTATGGTGACTCACCCTTGGCACCTGACAGCAACCAAGAGGATAATTACCCTCTCGATGACCCTGCAAGATCCAATCCATCCTCCCTAGTCATGGCTTCGACCACCTAATCTGTCACTTACTGCAGCACTCTCTCCATCTACATTGCCCCTTGCACTGAAAATCTAGCCTGTTCTGCACTCCAGTGGCATGGCTGCAATCAGAGGCAGTTCCCACCCACCTTCTGCTCCCTAAAAGTTACCACAGAGTGGAAGATTAGGGGAACTGAACTGGAACATTCTGTAGAACAATCATTATTTCTATCAGTGATGAATAGGAATACACGTATTTACTGTAAATCAGTTAAATGTTTTAGAAATGAGTAATGTGGAAAAAGTGAGCCTGGGAGGCAGCGAGATGGAGCCCGCATCACTAGGGGTTTCTTACATGTGCCTTTCTTTCTCTTAGTAACATTTCCAGAAATGACTTACAAAGCTCTCAAGCCTCAGAGCATCACTAAGCAGAAAGCTGCCACCTTCCTGCATCAACAGGACAAAGGGCTACTGAGGTCCCAAAGGTAACTCTCTGGTGGAAAGGAACTATATTAGACTCTGTAGAGGGAACTTTTGGATGGATGAGGGATGGGAATGCCATGCTGACAGACCCTACCTCTTGCTGCCGCCTTCACCTACCTTGGAGATCCCTGAAATGATGATGGTGCTTTTCTTCCGTGGAGACTTCAGCTTCAGCTTTGAGGATTCACTGAGCTGCCGAATGGCAACTTCAGCCACAGGATCTGATCCATTCAGCACCAGTAGTTCTGCCAGGAGGAAGGGAGCCCTGAGTTCAGTGGCAAAATTAGAAGGCTCCCATGGAACTCGGGGGGGGGGGGGGGGTGGCAGGAATGGTCTGTAAGCAGTGGCTGGCAAACACTTTGAAGAAAGAGGGAGAAAGCAAGGGGTTTTGCAACTAATCTCCCCATAGAGTAGAAGCAGCCAGGAGCCACACGTAAATGAACAGGCAAGGCCTGATTCCTGTAAAACTTTATTTTCAGAAATAAGGGAACGTCACTGTCACCTACAACTTTATTCCCCGTAGTTATGAGATACTCCTTGATGTGTCTGTTTAAAACTCTTGTGTTTTACCATTATAAATTGATGTTTTTTTGTCAAGAAGGCTATGCAAAGTGGCAAAAGACAGCAGACAAAAACACAATAAACCGTGGGTGGATGAGATGGTACAGTGAGTAAAGGCATCGTACCTGATGCCCTAACTTGAATTTGATCCCTAGGACCCAATAGGGGAAGGAGAGAACAGAGTCCTACTGGTTGTCTGCTGACTTCCACAACACACAAGGGCACACGCACACACACACACACACACACACACACACACACACACACACACACACACACACCCCAAAACGAAAGTAAAAGAAACATTGGGGAAAATTTGACCTCACAAAGGCACATATTCTTTCTCCCACCCAAAAGTGGCTGACACACAACAGTAATCAGAGCAGCTAATAAAAGCAATTAAGGGCTGGCCCTTCCTGTGTCATAAATGTACCAAGTACTGCTGACAAAGCCTGCATGTCTTATGTCATTTTCTCACTCTTAGCTCCATGAGGTGAGTTCTTTTCTTCCCTTCCTTCCTTCCTTCCTTCCTTCCTTCCTTCCTTCCTTTCCTTCCTTTCCTTCCTTCCCTCCCTCCCACTCTCCCCCTCTCTCTTTCTTGTTTTCTTTATTTTTAAAAAATCTCCACTTGACAAGGAGAAAGATGCCAGGCCATCAGGCAGGTGGCTGAGTGGAGATACTTAGTGGAATCTCTCTGTCGGAGAACTTATACTCATAATCCACACTATTCTGTTAAGGCAAAATTAAACATGACAAAGAGAGATGGTGGTGTAGAGTAGCTCGATGACAGAGCACTTGCATAATATGCACAATGCCCTGGGTTTGATTTCAAGGATTGCAAAAGCAAACGAAGGAACAAGGACAACAAAACTGTTTTAGGAGTGGCCATGGCCACAGGTCACAGGGGCTGGTTTCCACACACTTGGCCTTACCTAGTGCCTGTCACAAAGTTCCTAAAATCTTGAAATTTTCTTGATGTGGTGAAGGGAATATTTTTTTTTGTTATTTATGATAAGTCTTATTTGTGTGTGTGTGTGTGTGTGTGTGTGTGTGTGTGTGTGTGCGCGGGCGCATATGGATGTATTCATTCAGTTCTGTGAATATGTGTAGGGGCCACAGGCTGACCTTGGGTCTCTTCTTAACAGTTCTCCATCTTGTTTTTTGAGACAGAGCCTCTAATTGAATCTGGAGCTCAACAACTGGTTCAGACTGGCAGCCAGCAAGCCCCAGGAACCCCTTTGACTCCACCTCTCCAGAGCTGGGCTTATAGAATTGCTAGCCACTCTCCAATTTTTAAGTGGATGCTGGAGATCAAACTCAGGTCCCCACACTGACTTACAGAAAGGAACATGTTTCTTCAAGATTATGATTACATGAAAACAATCCTAAAATTAGAGAATTGATACAGATATAGCTTAAATATGAAATGTCCCCTGCAAGCCAGTCGTTAGAGGGTCTACTCCCCAGATGGGGATGCTACTCTGGAGGATGTAATACTTTTAGGGATGGAACCTGGCTGCCCTTGAAGGGTATAGCCCAGGCCTTGGTTCCAGAACTCCCTCTCTGCTTCCTGGTCAAATATGAGGTGAGCAGGCTCTATTATACACTCTAGTTAACATAAATTTACTCTTGAAACAGAGAGCCAAAACAATCTTTTCCTCCCTTACACTGTTTCAGCCAAGTCCCTTGGTCACAGTGATACAAAACATACAAAATAGTCTGGTACAGGAGAATTGGGTTGTTGCTTCAATGAAAACTAGATATGTGCTTCTGGGCCCTTGGAAACGGCTTGTGAGAAGAACTTAGGAAAATCTGGAGATGTGGACTAGAAAAATCCTTCAAGAAGCCCTAGAGCCCACCCACCCCCAAATGACACAGGCTATTGCCCCTGTTCTTGCTGCCCACCATAACTAGAAGGCAAGATCTATTGCTGAAGACACCACACACTTGTTGAGAACACAGAGAAATCTGGAACTGACCTGAAAACTTCCTCCCTGCTGGTAGGTGCTATGCAGGCTGCTGGAGAAGAAAAAGAATCAATGGGCTAACCCAGCAGTAGACCCTGCTTTCCACGATATTGACCTGACAGGCAAGATGTAAAGGCTTGACTGCTATGAAGTAACCCAACTGCTTTTGATTGGATCTGAACTCTGTTGCATAGGAAGCAATTCACACCTGATCCCTATAAACCTGGTCAAAAACCCAGGGCTGGGAAGGAGCCCTCTACTGTTGTTTTGCTAAATGGTGCCAAGTATTTGTTTATATGCACAGATTAGTGTTAATCTCAGCTTTTTTTCAGAAAAAGCCCACCCCCCTTTTGGCAGTGGTAGATGCAGAAACTCAGAACGAATAAAAAGGTTGAGAATAAATGACCTCCCCAAGGCTCAGGGAACATTCTGGAAGGAGAGGAAAGAGCTAGAGAAAGAGTCCTATAAAATGCTGTCTTCTGGATATGAAATGGCCATCACACTCGTGAAGTCAAAGCAGCAGTGATTGCTTGCACAAGATTAAGCCGTCAACATTGAGTGGGTTCATCCAGCTGAAGGGTTACTGGCAGTTAACGGCTGCTGTGGGAGGGAAAGTCATTTCTCTTCAGGGGTTGGTTGCAGCCACTGACAGGTTACCTGTGCTATGGTGGACATCCCTGTATATGCAGGGACTCCATGGGTTATATATATATATATAAAAGTAGAAAATGAGGGTGGGAGGTGTTTTGTGTTAGGGAAATCTGAGAAGAGGAGTGGGAAGTCATGGGTGGATATGATCAAGATACAATGTACCTTGCATGTAAGTATGAAATTACCCAAAATAAATAAAAATGTTATTTTTAAGAGGAAGAAAAGTTCTAGGATAGTGTTAGTAAACCTTAGGTTGGTTCTTGTGGGTGTGTGGAAGACCTGAGTGCCGAGAGACATGCAGACAGTGAGGCTGTGCTTCTGCTGTTTGGGATGGGAACAAGGAGTCCGCTGAGAGCAGGAATAGAGACTACTTGTGTTACATCTGGCACAGAATTTGCCTATATTTTAACTGTGTTCTGGAAATTATAAAGAGGCTGAATTCCAAAGTAATTCAAGGCAGCACAGCATTCAGGATATGGCACGGTTACAGCTGACTGCTTTAGCCAGGCTTACAGTGGGGTCTGAGAATAAAAATTAGAGCAGGAAGATATGAAAAATGAACTATTTGGCCAGTAAAGGAGAACATCTCAAGCTGCCATAGCAAGTGTGACAGGTGGCCATAGTCATTTGAGATAAGCACCATTAGGAAGAAGTCAAGTAGTTTGCATTGGGATGTAGGAAGGATGCTTTCAGTGCATTTCTGGGTTTGGTGAGACCTCAGACATCACAAGCTCCAGCCTATAAAACTGTGCTCTCATGTGAAAGATATTCTCTTTAAAAGACGTAGCTGCAGGGGCACCCTGCTTGAATGGGGCTGCTTAGAGAAGTGTTGTCACAGGTTCACCCACCTGGGCACTCAGAAGCCACTGTGTTCATGATACAAGGAGGCCTAGCTACATAGTAATGAAACTTAGTGTCGTCCACATGGTGCCAGGTTTTCAGACATGCAATATACAAGAGAGTTATGGGATCATGAAAGGTTGTACACCTAGATTAAGGAAAACTTGTGAGGCCAAGCGATTCAGGGTTGGGTCTCCTGTGAGGAACATCTCATAGGGCAGAATTTCTGATGATGAAGCCTAAGCTGCAGTAGAGATCCCTGGACCATAGGTCATTTCCCAAGGAAAGCTATAGGTAATGACTGAAGCTAGCCCCAGAGAGAGGCCACATAGGCTGCAAATGGCAAGGTTATTGGAGTGGAACTCTCTGTGTCTGCTGGTACTCACATCATTCCACCACAGCATTAAAAGTCAGACACAGCTGCAGCATTCAGTGCCCTGCTGAGGTTCAGTCTCCCTCTGGTCTAATCCTCCTATTTCTCCCATCTGGAATGGGCACATTTACCCTGTCCCTTTGCAGTCTGGAAATACATGACTTTCCTGAGTCTCAAAAACAAAACTCTAGACTTAGAACCTTGAACAATGTTGGAACAATCGAGCTTATGGGGACTCTTGAAATTGGACTAAATGCATTTTGCATTATAAGATGACCATGAACACTTGGAGCCAGGCTGCAACACTATGGCTTAGCTATCAAATTTCTCCCACAGGCTCATGTTCTAAACACTTGTTCCCCAGCCAGTGGCACTACTCTGGGAGGCTGTGGAACCTTTAGAAGGTGGAGGCCCACTGGCAGACATCTGATACCAGGGACAGGCCTTTGAAGGATATAGCCTGGCCACTGGTTTTAGACTCTCTTTACTTCTTGGGCTAATGTGATACTGACTCCACTACATGTTTACAATGCCATGCCTCCCCACCCCCTCCCCCGAGATGGACTGAAACTGGAGCCACCAGGAAGCTGTTTCTGTCAGCTGTTTCACTGCAGCTATACAAAAATAACCAAAGGAAATACTCAAAGAGCTCAGAAAACTGCTCTTAAATACTTGACCACACAGTATGGACCAAGCACAGCATCCAGCTGCCCCAGTGTTGCTTACCCAATGGCACTGACATCACCCATGTGCCAATGGGAGGGAAAGGTAGCTTTCAGAATGTTACAAAGTAGGGCCCCACTGCCTGCTCGTTTTGTTACAGACCTAGCAGACCTAGCAGGGACCCAGCTCAGCAGACCTAGCAGGGACCCAGCTCCGCCCTCCATCTTCCCTTACCTGACATTCCCAGCTCCCCAAAGACAGAAAAGGGAAATCTTCACACCTAAAGCTCAGAATTGCTGAGACAGAACAGATCACAGCTTACCTGTGTCTGAAGAGGAGAAAGTCTTGCTGACTGGGGCGCTGTGGCACGAAATGGCCTGGACAGAGATGTCCTTCTCAATGACCTTTACCTTGATGGGTGTTCTCACGGGGGACTCTGAAAGAACCAGACTCTATCACCAAGGGCATGGAAATTCTCTGAAGCAGAGAATAGAAAGTGAGAGGAGGCCCCTGGCTGCACCTTGAGGCCCTGCAGTTGCTCCTGGCCAGGACTGGGCTTTAAGATTTATACCCTCTCAGTCTAAAGTGAAGTAAAAATTCAGAGCCATTGTAATGAAACTGGAGTTCTCATGTGAATTGTGGGTCCCTCCCAAGGGAGCTACTGGGAAGATGATACCTTTATACAAACAGAAACAATATACCAATATACCAATAAAATGTTTTTTTTTTTCATCCCCACCCCAGGGGTCAGCTATATTGCAATAGAAAGGTTTGTGCTGCCCCCATTAAAACAAAACAAAAAAATTGTTTTTGAGACCTAGTATCAAATATCCTAAGCCAGCCTTAGGCAAGAATGACCTTGAACTCCTGATCCTCCTACCTCCACTTCCCTGGTGCTGTGATTACAATGTGTGCCGCTATGCCTACTTGAAACAATCAACGCTGGCGATCCCATCCAGGGCTTGATCCATGTTAGGCCAACACTGCCCAACTGAGCCACATCCTCAGCCCTACATCATGTCTCTTTATCAGTGGTGTTTAACATACATTCAACTAACTAGACTTTAAACCACCATGAATGTGGTGGAACGCAGAGTCCATGTGGCTAGAGTTTTAGAACCAGACTGCAACTTTGGTGTAACTTCCAGGCAGACCCTCACCTCTGCCCCTCAGCGCTCTCTCTCTCTATTCTCTCTCTCTCTCTCTCTCTCTCTCTCTCTCTCTCTCTCTCCCACTCTCTTTCTTTTCTTGAGACAGGGTCTCTCTATGTAGCCCTGGCTATCCTGGAACTCACAGAGATCCACCTGCCTCTCTTTCCTGAGTGTTGGGATTAAAGGCATTTGTCATCATGCCTGGATCTTTGTCAACTATTTTTCACAGACTATAAAGATAACTGTGCAATGCAAAAGTCTGATGCCAAATGTCTTTCTTTCCAATCTACCAGACTTTTTTGCCAAGGCTTGGTGCTGCAACTTATAATGCTCAGTGTTGCAGGACGAGACCCACCCACAGAGGCCGAAGACCTGTAGATCTTCTGCAATGAGAGTGCACTCTGGGGTCTTACCTGAGCTCAATGGGGACACCCTTCCAGTGTCAAAGCGAGGCTTGGTCTTCACAGCAGTGACAGTGGTGACCACCGTCCCACATGGCATCACTGTACGGTCCTTTTCTATCTTAGTAGCAGAAACAGGAGGAAGAGCAGGCCAGGACTTTAGCTCACCAGGTTCTATGTAAGAAAACTGTGGCAAAGGCAGACATTTATTTTTAAACACAGTGGAACCAGGGCTGCGGGGGACAGCTGCTTCCCACACTCCCTGGATCAACACACACACATAAGTCCCTCACAGAACATGGTGTTTTGAGAACACCGAATAGCCATTTCCTTTGCTGGTGTAGTAATGACCTCTAGATGACCTCTCATACCAAATATGATACAAATGCAAGGGAATAGCTATTTTCTATACAGTCCAAGTGATAAGAAAAGAAGGTCTGTACATGTTCAATATGATTTGGTTTGAGTGAGTTTTTTTTTTTTTTCTGTTGAGTATTTTCAGGCTGGTTGGTGCAAGCTGTAAGTGTGGACCTGCAGATATGAATGGACCCTGTAGATAACAGCAACAAGCTGACTTAGCACTGGTTTCAGCTCCTTTCTTCACCCATGTTCTTTAGTGGGTTTTTTTTTTTTTTTTGGTCGTTGTTATTTTTGTTTTTTAATCAACCTGGACTCACAAAGACCCAGGAGAGCCAAGCTAAAACTCATCAAATGCTAAGCATGACCCAGCAGACAAATTTTTTAAAGGAGGGCAGCTGGGTCAGCTGAGATGACACTGGGAAAAGTCATCTCCTATATTAGCCAGCTTAAGCCAGTTGTGGTGAGATGTGTCCACCTGAGCCTGAAGCCCATGCTGAGAAGAGGGCCTCCTGGGTGAGCTTAGCCCATCAAATGGAAGGAACAGTGAGCCCTGGCAGGCAGGAGAAAGGACTGTATCTTTAGAGAACATGCCACCATACCTCTGCAGTGACTGAGCCTAATACCAAGCTGTCAGGCTCTGTTCCACTGACCAGTCTGAAGGTCTGTGGACCATTAGGCTGCTTCCTAAATAAGTCCAGGTGAATGGTTGCTGTCCCCAACAGACCTAGAGTGGAAGACAAAGAAGAGCAATGGTGATGTTTCCAAAGTCACACACCCCACGGGATGTCCTGTTAGTTCTACTACACAGTGTCAGTGTTACCAAATGGAAAGAGGCTGCAGGCATTCCAGAGGAAATCTAGATGCCAGTCAGGCCTGGCAGAACAGTATCTAAACCATACAGAGTGTGGAACTGTAGCAACCATCCTTGAACCACTGACAGAAACTAGAAAGCAATGGGGGATGGGAAGGGGGAGTGGCATCAGCAAAAATGAAGAAGCTAAAGCTACTGAATGTCCTGGGCAAAACACATGTGGGAGAATGGGGGTTAAGCTATAATGACAGTGGGCTCCTCTCAAATGTGTGCCTGCGTGTTAAAAGGAAGAGTAAGTAAGAGAGAGATAAGGTGAGAAAGGAGGGAGAGGGAGAGAGACAGGGGTGCAGTGACTAAACAAACATAAAGATTATTCATGCGATTATTTAGAATGAGAATTTAAACATGGGCTGCATGGGTACACCCTGCATGGCTTCTATGAAGCTGCACAGAGCTCTCCCAGGCTCTGTCAGACTAGCCACCAGCAGCAAGGATCAGGAGGGATGAGAAGCCAAAAGCAGCATGATGCAGGGTGTCTCACATATCCTCTCAAAGAAGGAAAGGTTTCTCCTTACTACTTCCCCAGGCGTCTAAAGACAGCAGACTCAAAGTGACTCACACAGACCTCTTGATGGTAACTAGGGCATGATCATCTGGTCAGTCACCTGCCTTCCAACTTCCCTTCAGGAGATCACAAAGAGACTCAGTGGCATAGCTGGATAGGCTAATGGTCTCTTCCTTCCCAATTTTATGGATTCTAAAACATCCAAGAGGTCTGGGAATGTAACTCAGTGGTATAACACTTATCTAGCATGCTTAAAGCTGAGCACCACAAAAACAAAGAAAAAATAATAATTTAAGGGCCAGTGGGAAGGTTCATCTGGTAAAGGTACTTGTCACTAAACCTGATAAACTAAGCTTAATTCCCAGGACCCACAAGATAAAGGAGAGAATCAACTCCTCCAAGTTGTCCTCTGACCTACACAGACACAGCACTAAATGTAAAACAGAAGAATCTAACAAATATTGGCACCACCAATGAACACACCCAAGTCCATGTTTATGTTGGTGACTTTACCCTGAACTGCTTTACCCTGTGTCTGAATCATGTGTCTACTCTATTTTTTTAAGATTTATTTATTTATTGTGTATAAAGTGTTTTGCCTGCATGTATGCCTGCAGGCCAGAAGAGGGCACCAGATCTCACTACAGATGGTTGTGAGCCACCATGTGGTTGCTGGGAATTGAACCCAGGTTCTCTGGAAGAGGAGTCAGCGTTCTTGACTGCTGAGCCATACCTCGAGCCCAAATGACATTTTGTTTTGTTTTGTTTTGTTTTTGAGACAGGGTTTCACTGTGTAGCCCTGGTTGTTCTGGAAATCACTCTAAAGACCAGGCTGGCCTTGAACTCACAGAGATCCTCCTGCCTCTGCCTCCTGAGTGCTGGAATTAAAGGCGTGCACACCATCACCTTGATTGTTACTATTTTTAATTTAAAAAGTTGAAGGAAATCCAGTAAGTATAGAATGGTTCAAAATTGCTCCTCTAATCTAAAAATTACTGAAGGAAGATTCTAGATTTGAAGAAAGGGACTGAGGAGGTGACCCAGTACTAAGATAAGAGCACAGGCTGCTCTTCTAGAAAACCTAGGTCCAGCTCCTAGTCCCCATGTGGCCACTCACAGCCATCTGAAACTCTGGTCCTGGAAGGTCAGATACCTTCTTTGACCTCTATAGGCACTGCATGCACACAGTGCATAGACATACATGCAGGCCAAACACTGACACAATAAAAATATAGGAAAAAAAAGTTTAAAAACCAGACGCACATGCCCCCAAAGGAATGACATCATTGATGTTTGACTTTGTACCAAACATTTCATTGGGTGACCTGTGGTTCATTGGAGGAGGAGGGTGCCTCCTTTGACGTTTGTTCCCTTTCCATTCCAGAGCCCGGGTCAGGGTGCTGGTCTGGAGCAGTCCTCCACCCACCTTCTGAAGAGCACTCATTCTCTGAGATCTGCAAGAGCAGCTCCTTAGATTTGGCGTTCAGTTCACTGTGGGAAGAACAAACCCTGTGAACCCTTCAAAGCTCAATGCTATCAGATTGCCCCATCCCCATGTATATTTCTTGATTATGCAAAGGAACACAACGTTGTCAGTCCTTAAAGGCAGACTTCTTGCAGCCTGACAGTTCAAAATTAGCCTGATGCACCCAGGTATTAGCCTGTCAGAGGGATCCATGGAACATCCCATGGTGACAAGAATATTAGACAGAGCTAATACAGCAGCCATGGGGTGGCCAGTACAGACTGAGACCTTGATTTCATTTGGTTAATTTTTATTAACTTAAAATTAAAAGTCACAAGTCACTGTTACCATTTTAAAGAAACACATATGTATAATTAACTGAGTAGAGAACACAGAATATCCAACAAGCGTCCCTCCTCCTAAGATACCTTTTGCTTAAGATACATGTAACATTCCTGTATCCATGCTTCCTCGAGATATCACAGACTGCAAAGCAATTGCATTTTTGACAGATGTCTAGTGATCTGTTGCCTTGGCCTTAACAATTTTTATTCAACCAAGTCTTTATAGATCGAAGACTGTAAAAATTGAGTTTAAAAATAGAATCGTCGTTCCCGAAAACAAACTGAGATTAACATCCTCACACAGTTGGAGGTCAGAAGACAACTTGCTAGAGTTGGTTCTCTCCACCAAGTGGGTCCTGAGAATTGAACTTAGGTTGTCAAGTTTGGCAGCAAGTGTCTTTACCCACTGGACTATCTCACTGTCTCCGTTTCTAAGACCTGCCTATCATTTCTGTCAATTCTTTTTCTTCTTTAAGTCCACTAACCAGTTCTTTCAGATCAAAACCATCCCTGTCCTGATGCCAGTGTTCTGCTCCTGGAATTGATCACCCATGGTGAGATTTTAAACTCCTATTCAAAAGAGTTTATGAATTTGTCCTTATTAAGCGTTTCAAAATTGCAAACCAGTATTAAACAATACTGACTCTCTTTGGGGAAGGTGTGATGATAGGACGTTTACTTTCTCCTATGATCTAGTGACAAAGTAGACATTATTGACAGATTTTTTTATATTAAGCTACCTTTACATTTCTGATGCACTCTAAAGTGGATGGACTGATTGATTGATTGATTGATCGATTGACTGATTGATTTGAGGCGGGTTTCTACATAGTTTTGGCCATTCTGGAATGTGTTATGTAAACCAAGCTGATCTGGAACTCATGGCGTACCTGCATGCCTCTACGTCCCACGTACCAGGATTAAAGGCATGCATACCACACCCGGTTTGGATTTATTTATTCATTATTTATTTTGAATAGAATGGCTATTAAACTTTTTTTTTTTATTTTATATGTATGCATGTCTTGCCTGTGTGTATGTATACCACGTGCATGCTTGGTCTCTGCAGACACCAGAAGAGGGCATCAATCCCTTCCAATGGTTATGAACTATCATGTAAGTACTAGGAACAAAACCCAAGTCTTTTGCAAGAGCAGCCAGTGCCCTTGGCCAGAGCCACAGCTTACAAATGGATGTATTTTAATGCATCATTGGATCCTATGTGATGACATATTGGTTAGGATCTTTACATTGTTATTTATAAGTGGTTTGCCTGTCCCCATTTTTCTATTTTTCCAACCAGAAGTTGGCATCAAGTAGAAGTTTCCTTCCACTGTGTGTGGCTAGCTGCTAAGGGGAAGCAGGGAATCTTTTAACAGGCCTGTATCACAACAAGGAAAAAGAAGAAAGGTGAAGCCCAGAACTGCCTTAAAAAAAAAAAATCAGGCTGGAGAGATGGCTCAGAGGTTAAGTTCTGCTCTTCCAGAGGTCCTGAGTTCAATTCCCAGCAACCACATGGTGGCTCACAACCATCTGTTATGAGATGCCCTCTTCTTGTGTACAGATATACATGGAAGCAGAATGTTGTATATATAATAAATAAATAAAATCTTTAAAAAAGAAGTTAAAAAAAGAGTATATTAACCCAAAAAAAATTTTTAAAAAATCCATATTGGACACAGGGCTGGCTGTCTTTCAAAAACTCAGGACTTGTTTTCATTTCTTTAATTAACTTTTAGTATAAATAGTACTATACAATAACTCTAGGATCTGTCCATCTTGAGCAGACCTAACTGTTGCCACCAGGCCCCTGAGGATGCAGGATGTACTCACAAGGTGAATTCCTCCTCCCAAGTGAGGTCTGTTGTGTTTCTCACTAGGGTGCTGATGAACTGCTGTGCAGGATCGTTCAGCTGGGCCACACACACATGGCTAATGCTGCCTGTGATGAGACGAAGCAAGGTTGTATTAGCTTTTATTTTTGAATTGCATTAAGACTTTTGCTGACCCACACAAGGAAGGGTAAATTAACTGACAAGAATCTCATCTTACCCATACCTAAAAGACCTTTCTGTCATTTGACATTTATATACTCTCAATGCTGGGGCAATAACTTGGCAGTAACAGCCCTGGACTAACCCCAGTGACCACACCCTTCCATGAATTCATCAATTCTGGCAGCAGGCAGGACTGTCAGGTATGGAGTCTCACCCAGAAGCAACATGCCAGTGTGCTGAGGCGTGGCCCCACTTCTAGACAAGACTAACAACCTGTCCAAAGGATGGCTGTTCCTAAGCTTAAACTGTGGCCACATCTCACAGACAACCCATGTCCCACTTATAACAAACAGTTGTTTTCATTCCTTATCTAACCCAAGGCCCTTTTGGGGTACTTGGAATAGGCACTGTGATATCTTACAGCTGTTCCTGCTCTGAGAAAATGTTTCCTCTATGGCTTCAGTCCTGAAGTCCTCTGTGGCTAGTAACTACTACAGTGCTTGACTCGTTACCATGCCTCAGGTCAGGGTAACTTTCACAGTCTCTCCTCAAGGGAAGACTCAGATCCATTTCCTGATGTTGGCACCTTAGTACAGATAGAGAATGGAATCTGTTCACAGAGTGTGCACCCCAAAGCTGGGACCTCCCACCCCTGGCTGGTAGTCCAGGGGATCCACTTGGCCACTAGTTGATACAGGTCTGAAAGGCAACATCCAAGTACTTGCACCAAAAAAAAAAAAAAATCTTCTACAGTCAGCTTTGTAGAGACAGTTCAAATGAAGCCTCTTTATGCCTTGTAAACTGGGAGGGAGAAGCTTTGCAAACAGTGACCAGAATTCCTAGCATTCTTAAACAATGAGAGAACCACACTTCTACTTCCATCAACATCAAGCTGCAATTGAACAGTCACATCCTGCTTCAGACTGCTAATCTTGGGAACTGGTGACCACTGGGAATCCTGGGGAGGGCCAGGACTCGCAGCTGCCTTCTTCTCATCAGCAGCACCAGAGGCACCAGTGATCCTAAGCCCTCTGATCCCCCCATCATACCCCATACTCCACCATACTCCTCCTAATACCCTACCTTTTAGGACAACAGAAGCTGCACTGCTCAGAGGCTCAGGGCTACTCAATATGAATTTATTGGCTCAGTTTTAAAAAAGAAAACCAAGACTAGTATGTCAGGCTGAAAACAGAGAAACCATGACACTGCTCTCCCTTGGCCTTCATGTACATGAGATAAGTTTAGACTATAACATTTACATATTTATGGGGTGTAGTATGACACTTCGTGGCATGTATATTCTGTATGATGATCACATTCTGTAACTAGCATGGCCATTGTTTCAAATATCTGCCCTTTGTCTGCATTTAGAACATTTAGAATCCTTTCCACAAGCTCTCTGGGTATACATGATTGGCCATCACCAGCCACAGTTGCTTACTATGTTAAGCGGGTTACAGCTTGTGGCATGAACCCCAAAGCCATTAGCCAAAGACCAGGTTTTTCACTGTACTGCTGCCAAGGAAGGTAGGGATCATCCTGCAGACCCAACCATGTTGCCATATGAGGATTTGCCAGTCCAAGCCAAGGAAGGTCCCTCCAACAGCAGTGGGAAGCCCCATGTGGCCCTGGCGGCACCAGCACCCACCTGAAGCACCAGGATGGGTTAGCAGGGAGACTCGGATATTCTTCACCTGCAGTTTTAGTTCATGAGCCCTTGGAGGTTTGGGAGGGCAGGGTTCCTGAGCAGTGGAGGAAGTGCACTGTAGAGTCTGTGGGAAGAAAAGCAGGGTAACAGATGTGAAGATGGGAGCAGATGGCCAGGGACACTGGCTTCTATATGGGTGGTTATCTTTGACACTAGTGTCTTTGGGGATACCAGAATGGGACCTGACTGCCAGGATAAACTTAGAATTGACAATACTGTCTCATGGGAAGGTTCTTTTGCCTCTGAGGTGAGCCTCTCTCTCCCTCCCTCCCTCCCTCCCTCCCTCTCTCTCTCCCTCCCTCCCTCTCTCTCACTCTCTCTCTCTCTCTCTCTCTCCCTCCCTCCCTCCCTCCCTCCCTTCCAGATTTATTTATTCATTCATGTATATGTGTGCTCTGTTTTCATACACATCAGAAGAAAAGACCAAATCCCATTACAGATGGTTGTTAGTCACCATGTTGCTGGGAACTGAACTCAGGACCTCTGGAAGAGTGGTCAAGAACTCTTAACCACTGAGCCATCTCTCCAGCCCCATGGTGAGCCTTTTCTATTCCAAATGAAGAAACCATCAGATAGTGATGACCCTATTCAAATTCTGCCTGTGGTCTACTTCCCAGGACAGTGAAGACTAGCCAGCACATGGTTCCATGCTCAGACCCAGGAGAGGTGCTTTAGATAGTGACCTGGTCTTCAAGTTGTGGTGCTCGGCAGGACAATATCTAGATATGAATGGCCATCAGTCTGTGATCACCTCTTGCCTCCAGGCAGAGCCGACATTGCACAAGTAAGAGTACAGATGCAGTATTATTGCATCTCAGAAGGGTACCAGCTACTGGCTGCCAGGATGGTGCTCACAGGGGTTCCTAAATTTAGCACAAGAACCCAAGACTCCAGAAAGTTCTCACAAACAATGAAAGCCACACAGGAGCTATCCTGGGTGCTGACTGGACATGAGCTACTTCTTGGGGGTTTGCTTACTAACATCTCCAGAGACACTCATGGTAACACCCAGCAAACACTATACTGGACCAGGTTCTTCCCTGCAGTGAGTGAAGAATGCCAAAGGCCAGAAAGAATTATGAACTTCCTTAAAGCACTGGGATGAGATGGAGATGTGATATGTGTGGCTGTATATGTGTGGCTATTTTTTTTCTTTCCTTTAACTATGTGTGTACATGTATATATGGGTGTTTACATGTGTGGCGGTTCACGTGTGTGTGTGTGTGTGTGTGTGTGTGTGAACATGGACTTGTCTATGTGTATGGAAGCCTGTGGTTGTCGGCAGGTGTAATCCTTAATCACTCTCCACCTTATTCGTTGAGGCAGGGTTTCTCCACTGAACACAAAGCTCACAAATACAGCTAGTCTAGCATGCTCCAGGATCCCCTGGTCTCTGCCTTCTGAAGCTAGACCACCATGCCCACCTGACATTTACTTTGTGTTCTAGGGTCCAAATTCCAGTCTCCATACTGGCACAAAGGTGCTTTAGCCACTATGCTATGAGGGTTCTGCTTCTGGGCCATAAATACTCAGGTATTCAGTCAAACACTACTTTGGATGTTTCTGTGGTGGTGGTTTGACACAGATTTTCATTTTTCTGAGAGAGTGTATTGGCCTCAGTTTCATTATGTAGTGGAGGATGACCTTGAACTTCTGATCCTCTGACCTCTAGCTCCTGAGTGCTGGTATTACAGGCATATGCTACCATACCCTGTGTATATGATCTTAGAAATTGAATCCAGGACTTCATGCATGCTGTATACTAGGCAAGTACTCTTCTGACTAAGTTATAGCCCAAGAAATCAACATTTAAATGGATAGACTGAGTAAAGTAAATGGCTATCCCTAATGGGGTGGGCTTCATCCCATCAGTTGAAGGCCTGAGTAGAAAAATGAGCCACCCTCAGATGAGAAGAAATTCCCCCTTCCAGACACCTCAGCCAGGCCATGGTCTTTTTCTGCTTTTAGAATCAAACAAAAACACTGGTCCTACTGGGTTCAAGCTCTGAGCCTATGGTCAACATGGACTGAGGCCAAACCATCAACTCTCCTGCTGTTCTAAGCTTTGCTTCAGACATGGGTTAGAATCATACCATGTATGTATTAGCCACAACACCATAATATATCTTATAAATCTCTCTCACGCCCATGTCCAAGTGCTCAATTTCTCTGGAGAGCCTTGCCATGGATATAGTACTTAATGAAATTGAACAATTTAATTTTAGAATGTAATTGTATATGATAGCATAGGTCCTGAAAATACAATACTATTTGTTAACTATCTCCAATTTTGATAAATTTCTGATCACTAATCCCTTCTGCTTTTCAAAATCCACTATTAACAGGATTACTGGGAGATGCAGTGGCCAGGGCTTGTTCCAACCTCTGTGGATGTATGACTGACTCTGTATTTGGGAAGGCTGAGCATCCCCCCAACCCACCTTATGCCTCTGAGAGGCCCTGAGGGGAGTTTATAACCCCCTATGTTCTCATCTGCTAGCTGAGCTGTGCCTGCCACCATGTACGCAAAGGAGAGTAAAGATGACTTCTCATATCCCTATGACTCTAATCTCCTAGAATTTAGCACCAAACACTATCACCAGCTGACAGTGTCTGATGAATGGTGCCAAGTGGGGGACCATAGTCTCACTAGAAGAACAACAATGAGCGTCCTGGGAACCTCTCTTACCATGGAACTCTGATCATGAGTCTCTATTCTAATACCATGGACAATACCTGCCTGTGCAATATCATGAGATATTGATATTCCCCACCATGAGAAGTGAAGGCACTGGAAACACAAGATCAGAATCACCTGTGTCCTATGATCTGGGCTTACCTGAGCTTCTTTGATCTGTGTGGGCTTGGTGCTCAGATATACAGATGGAGAGGCAGCACCAACTAGGTGCTTGAAAAGATCCTTAAGGGCTTCAGAAAGCACGTTTACCTCGAGCACCTGCTTCTGAAGAGATAAAGGTCATCAGATCATTGCATGCCAGATGCAGGTACCTGACAGGCATGATGTTACAACATCAGACTACATTAAGCAACCTTGGTGTGAGGGCTATGATGGCTCTTGTCTCGAGGACTGCAACTGCCCTGCTGACCCATGACAAGCTAGGAACAGCAGCAGCCTCCAGGAGCACAGCCAGTGAGAAATTGGGGACCTCACCCATAATAAACCAATTATGCCAAGAACTATGTGAGACCCCCGAGCTGCAGAGAAGCACAGCACAGCCAAGAACTAGATGGCAAGCAGAGAATCAGGGCTTAGAACAGACGAGGTGTACAAAGACTCCACAGTGCTATTCTCATTCACTGGGGAACTGTGGGTCTGCTACTAAGCCACAAAGTAGTCCTCAGAATGCCTCCACAGAGAAATCTATAGGGTGCCTAGAGGATGACGAACAGGAAGTACACAGTGTAGACAGCATGCTGCTGGCTGGGTACAGGAGGAGGAATGAATGAGGTCATCTTTGTAAAAAGACAATGACACAAGTCACTTTGGTACAGGTATCCGTAAAGTCAAATGGAAGAAAGCAGAGCTTTTCCCCAGTCTGTCAGTGGCACTGACTTTGAATCAAATTTTCTTTATTATTTTTTAATTTAATTTGCTTATATTTTATGTATGAGTGCTCTGCATGTATCCCTGCATGCCATAATAGGGCAACAGATTCTATTATAGATGGTTGTGAGCCACCATGTGGTTGCTGGGAATTTAACTCAGGCCCTCGGGAAGAGCAGCCAGTGCTCTTAACTGCTGAACCATCAAACTTTCAAGAGTCAAAAATATATACAAGGGGTTGAAGAGAAGGCTCAGTAGTTAAGAGCATTGGCTGTTCTTCCAGAAGACCTGAGTTTGATTCCCAGCACCCACAAGATAGCTCACAACCTTTTCTAACTTCAGTCCCTAGAGATTCAATGCCCTCTTCTGGCCTCTGCAAGCACTGTACACGTATCATACACAAACACACATGCAGGCAAACCCCCCTATACATAAAAATAAATTAAATAAAAATAAATAAAATAAATATACTAATCAATAAAGATGGGAAAATCGTACACCTGTACATTGACTTTGGCAAAGAAATCAATATCAGATTGGTAACACAGCTATCCATGGGGAAAAATGACTCATGGAGCCATACCGAATGGTGCTCTTTGCATTAAGAAATTCAACATGGCTGAGCTTGCCTGTGTGGACTGCAGGCCAGGAAAGATGATGCCATTGTCAGAGAGAAGCAAGCAGCAGAAGGGGAAAAAGGGAAGGGCTGCCCTACCCCAATTCATTCTCTCTGCCCCCTCCTTTCTTCTGCTGCTTGCTTCTCTCAGACAATGACATCATTTGTCTAGACCTGCAGTCCACACAGACAAGCCCTGACATGTTCAATCTCTTCTACTGAGAAGGGGACCATCAGGTATTCAAGATTCCTTGAGTCACCCTCTTCCCCTGTAGCTGTGTTACCAATCTGATATTAGTTAATATGCTTCAGTCAGTATTTAGTGTGTGTGTGTGTTAAACTTACCAGCTCAAACCAAACCAAAGCCAAACCCACCAAACCCTAACCCTCACACTGCACACATCTATATCAAAACACAAAGGCTAAAATATTGACAGGACGCTAGGCGTTGGTGGCACACGCCTTTAATCCCAGCACTCAGGAGGCAGAGGCAGGCGGATCTCTTTGAGTTTGAGGCAAGCCTGGTCTACAGAGTGTCAGGATAGGCTCCAAAGCTACACAGAGAAACCCTGTCTCAAAAAAACCAAATAAATAAACATGAAAAAATAAAATATTGACGACTGGGGTGGGACACTTGCTTAGCATGTTCTGAACCCTGGGTTCCATTCCTAGCACCACAGGGAAAAAATGGAGAGGAAAAGACAAAAGAGACATGAAAAGAGGAAAAGCAGAGACTCTTATTGGCAAACACACTACAGAGCCCACACATCTCTACTGTGAGGAAGCCTCAATGGCTGTCTTAGCTGAAATAGAGCAGAACAACAAGGGAATTTTGTGAAAGTCACAGGAAGGGCTTCCTGTCCAGTAAAGAAAAGTGACACCAGAGCACTTTTTGCACACACTCACTGCAGCCCAGTTTCTGTCCTCACACGCTGAGGCCCCAAAAAGTAGAAAGGAAAGTGTCCTCTCCATCAACACTGTCCTCCACAGTGCCCTGGGGAGAATGGCTAGCAGGGGCTGCCCACCTTAGAGCTGCCCAATTTGAGACATGCCCTAGCCATGCATCTCTAAGCCAGTGAAAAAATGACAAAAACTTACGGACTGACCTCCCCTGGGGCCTGGGGCTGGATCTTGATGGCTGTTTCTGGTGCATGGGTGAACGACCACCTGATCTGAATGTCGTCTCTCTTCTCTTCCATGTGGAATTCCATCTATGAGAACAAACCACCAGTTATTGGGTAGCTGAGCTCCTCACCTAAAGCCTTAGTTATCTCACATGTGCATGCATATGTGCCGTGTACATGCATATTTTATGTATATGGGTTATATGTGTGTACTATGTGCTGTGTCTGTGCAAGGTGTGCGTACATAATATGTGTGTATGCTGTGCTGTGTGCATGTATACTGATGCCCTCTGTGTGTTTGTTTTTTAAGATTTGTTTTTATTTTATGTGTGTGCTGGTTGATTTTTGTCAACTTGACCTAAACCTAGACATACTTTGAAATGCTTCCATCAGATTAGCCTATAGTCAAGCCTGTGGGTATTTTAATTAATTATTTTAATTAATGACTGATGTGGGAGAGCAAGGTTCATTATGGGCAGTGCTACCCCTGGGTAGGTAGTCCTGGGTTCTATAAGAAAGCAGGCTGAGCAAGCTATGGGGAGCAAGCCAGTCAGCATGACTCCTCCATGGCTCTGCCTCAGCTCCAGCTCCTGCCTCCTGGCTTCTGCCTTGAGCTTCTTCTACCCTGACTTCCTTCAGTGATGGGGTGTGATTCCTTTATGTTCCTGGAAAGACAAAAAGAAAGCCCTGTCCCAACCCTGACTTTAGGGAGTTTACTTTTTGGCAAGTTATACTCATCAAATGAAAGGCATTTGTTAGTCTTATACGCTAGTTTAGATTGAATGGCCATGCTGTTTGATAACTATCACCTCTTTTAATCAAGAGGTCTCTCCTATTCAAATCTAATCTTTATCAGTTTCGATGATATCCATAGCTTTTCTTCTGTGGAAACAAAAGCAAAACCCCTCCGCCAACATAACACATCTCCTAGTTTCCATTCTGAGGTCAACACATCTTTAAAGTATATAGGCTAATTTAATTCAGCAGTTTTCTATTATTCAATGTCTCTCCACAGTTGTCGTTTCTTTCTTATTAGTATTAAAAAATTTAAAGTTAATAAAACATTGTGTAGTCTATATCTGAAAGTCTTTATTAACCCTTTCTGTTTAATAAGCTTATTTTTATAGATATTTCTCTAACTGCTTGCCTTGTAGGATTACGTGGTATACCTGTAATATGCTTCACATTGTAATATGCAAAAAAATTGTTTCATTTTACAAGAGACATATGCTGGAGCATTGTCAGTCTTAGTTTGTACAGTCATTCCCATGATGGCCATAACTTCTAATAAATGTGTAATTACAGAATCAGCCTTTTCAGAACTCAAAGCAGTTGCCCATTGAAATCCTGAATATGTTATAGCATACATATTGTAATTTTCCAAATTCTACAAAATGAAACACATTCATTTGTCAAATTTCATTTCTTTGAGTATCCTTTGTGTTACTTCCTGCAGGTAATGAAGTTTGGTTATATGAAGAATAAACAGAACATTTCCTTATAACTTCCTTGGCTTATTGCCAAGTGATAGAAAAAGCTTTTTTTTTTTTACCAGGCGTTGGTGGCTCATGCCTTTAATCCCAGCACTCGGGAGGCAGAGGCAAGCAGATCTCCGTGAGTTCGAGACCAGCCTAGTCTACAAGAGCTAGTTCCAGGACAGCCTCCAAAGCCACAGAGAAACCCTGTCTCAAAAAACCAAAAAAAAAAAAAAAAAAAAAAAAACAGAAAAAAAAAAAAAAAAGCTTTTTTTTTTTTTTTTGGACCCGAGAGTTATAAGCTATAATGAGCCCTCTCCTCCCCAAGTTGCTTTTAGTCATAGTGTTTTATTACAGCAATAGAAAAGTAATTAAGGTACTGTGTATGAGTTCCCTATGTGCATGTAACTGTACTGTGTGCATGCCTGGAGCCCCTGGAGGCTAGAAGATATGAGATGCCCCTGGAACTGGAGTTATTAAGGTTGTAAGCTACCATGAGGATGCTGAAAACCAAACCCAGGTCATTTGCAAGAACAGCATGAGCTTCTAACTCCAAGCCCCTTTTCCAGTTCCTTGTGTGTGTTCCTTTTGTCACCTGTTTTTATAAACAATGGCTCAGTTTCTGACCTGATCTACAATGTTTTTTCAGAATGCGTATGAAGGCCTTCCTGCCAAACTCTTTCCTGCCTCTTCTCTGCCCAGGCAGCCCCTCATGCCAAGTATCACTGGCACTCTTCAGCCTTATTTAAATAAGGAACTCACTGTGCTCTGTGCTTCTTTCTGTCATCAAAGCATAGGTGAGGGGAGAGAGCAAAGGGACCCAGATCACCCTGTCTTTGGTGCTGGGCATGGCCAGTACCCATGTTAACATGTCCCTGGGTTATATAAGGAGTGCCATATATAATGGTACCCTTCTCACCTGAGCCACTCCATCAGCCTCAACTAGTCTCCTATATTGAATAGTCCTACTCATGTAGAGGGGGAAAAATCATGGAAAGATAACCAGGCCTTCATCCTGGAGCCCTATATAGGGCCAGGCATAGTAAAAGGGGCTGGGTAGGTGTGATTAGGGTCTGGACCTTCAGGCGGTGAGAACGTCTTATGTCTCCAGGTGACCAAAAGGAATCATAAGCATCCTTAACACTTAAGAGAGATTAGCAGGAGAATGGGCTAATAGTATGGTTTGAGGACTACATCCATGGTGACTGAGCTGAATGCACAGTGGCCATGCAAATAGTGAGGTGGTATACAAGCTCTTTACAATTAATGTATAGCCAACAGGAACATGAGCCCACAGTCCTGTAACACTCAAGGACCCTACTGAATGAGGCTATCTTCAGAGTCAAATTGCCATCTTTTTCATCAGATCATCTGTATGTGCTTACAATAGATCATTAAAGCTGGGCTTGTCAAATGCTGACATTTCTTTACAGGAGAGGCAGGGTAGGTCATAGGACCCTCACCCAGTATCTAGTTACTTCTCCAAACCAGTTACACACAATTCCACATGGCCTCAGAGAGTATAGGCTGAGAGGAACTAGAGAAGGGGGCTCTCCATCTGCATAGCTGTGGGGAGTCATCATCCATGCTGGGTATAGACCTTACAGAGGGCTGTGCTGTTCTGGATCATGCTCATGGTGACTTACAGTTTAAAGCTGGTGGATAAGAACATGTAACTCAGCATGGATGATGAGTCCTCTCTGTGTCCCTCCTATGGTGTAGAACACAAGGTTCTATCTACCATGGATTTCCTGTAACCGATGGCATTTACACAGCCTTACCTTTAAATGAAATGGGGAAAGCTGGACGTCATACAGCTGGCATTCTGAACTGGTGGTAGAGGCAGGCCTTGCACTGACCAAGAACTGAAGGGTATCACCCACCACATGACAGATCACCACCTGGAGAGACAGGGGACAGGGACTCTTCAGAAGTGCTTACAATAGACACCTTCATTTCACCAAATAACCTAGACTTTCTATGTTATCAAGGAAAGAATTCTGAGTCTCAACCTTGAATAAATACTGAGATGTGTACCTTTTCTACCATGAAACAGTTTTTAAAAACTAGACACGGTTTCAGATGCTCGATTTCTGATGGATTCTAAAGAGGCAAATTCTGTCCTGCTTAAATCTAGTTGTCATGCTTTTTCCATACATAATGAAGGGTTTTTTTGTTACATATTTTTCCACAATGGCTGCTTTCAAATTCCCTAGACAGAGCCAAAGAGACGGGTCACCATGTATAGGCGCTTACTACCAGGCCTAACAATATGAGTTCCAGACCCAGGATTGACATGTTGTAGGTGGAGAACCAACATCTACACGTTGCTGTTGTAGGATATTTGATCACACTGTGACACCCAGAGACTGTGCTAATAAAGTTAACCTTGAATCAGAGGGTGGAGCCAGAGACTAGCTGACCGAAATTAGCCATAGAGAAGCCAGGAATATGGATAGAGAAAATGCATAGCAAGGAACAGGCAGGGGTGGGGGGGGTGGGGGTGGGAAACTTGGAGATTTCACAGATCTGGGAAATGCAGAGAGGTCAGTTGGTCACTCCTCTGCTACTTCTTTATCTATCATCAGGTTTTCACCCCAGTATTTGACCCCTGAGTCTTTATTGGTAATAGAACAACTTAGATAAACACATCAAGTTGCCTCTGACCACACACACAGAGAAAAATAATTAATGAATTTTTAAGCCCTAAGCATTTCTATTCTCATGTAGAGAAAAGCTACTTGCCATCTTTTGCTAAAAGTAAGCCTTGAAAAGAAATTAAGTCAATGATGGACTAAATGGGACGAAACCCACAAGCAGGTCTGTGGTGGACTGCCCTGGCTTTGAGAAGGAAACATGGTCCTGCCTATCGCCACCACAGACTAGTGGGACAAGAAGACCCACACACAGGCCCAGGGTGGTCTGCCCTGGGCTCAGAGGAGAAAACACACACCCATCTGGCACCTTGTGGTACTGGACAGACTGGCAAATGTATAGTGTGGTAAGGGAGAGAGAGGGAGAGACAGAATGGTTCATGTCCTGTGGTCAGGAGCACATCTGAAGAGATTAAAGCAATGAGGAGTGGGCTAATGTGGCAGACTTGACCCAACCCCTCACCAGTTGCAGCACTGGGGAGAACAGGCCCTGCCCCTCACCTAGGCACCACAGTAGAGTTGATCCTGCAGTCAGGGGCATGGGTGAGTCAGCCCTGAGGGCATGACAGGGGCAGAGCTGGTATGCCTCCTTCTGTGTGTAGTGGTGCAGTGGTGGGGGTGAGGGAAAGATGCTCTCCCCCTCTTCCCTCCCCCCTACTGCCTCCAATGGGCGAGGGAGCTGACCCTCCCCTTTACTACCTGCAACACAACAAGTGGTCCCTGCTTCCTGTCTGGGCAATATAGCAAATAGCAAAACTTAAAGAAGAGGAGAAAAGGAGAAGAAAAGAGAGAGAGAGAGAGAGAGAGAGAGAGAGAGAGAGAGAGAGATGAGCCATGCCTGGGATGGCTACCTACCCCTCACTAGCTGCAGCACTGCACCTTAACAGGGCAGCACAACAGAGCCTACCCTGTTGATGGAGACATAGGTGAACCAGTCTGGACGGCATGAGTGTGGGGGAGCTGTCCCCACTACTCATCTGTCATGAGGAGGTGTGGGTGGGGGAGAGATGTCCCCCTTGCCCATTGTCACCTGTGACAGATGAGGAAGCTGGCCCTCCTCTTTATCAGCTATAGCACTCAGAAAAGTAGGCCCTCCTCCTCACCTGGGCAGTACAGTAGAGTTGACTGGGCAGGACGCAGGTGAACTGACCCTGAGAACGTGAGTGGGTGGGAGAGCTGGCCCCACCCCTTATTTGCCATATGGTGGTGTGGGCAGAGGAGACATATACTTCCCCACATACATACTCCAGCCTTCACCACCTGAGACAGGTGGAAGAGATGGCCCTGGGGTTATATGAGTAGGAGAGCTGACCTCGCTCCTCACCAGCTACAGCCCCTGCTCCTCACCTGGGCGACACAGTAGAGGTGCCATGATGATGTAGGTGTGGGAGAGCCCACCCTGAGAATGTGAATTCAGGAAAACTGGCCCCGCCCCTTGCTCATTGCTGCAATGGGTGAACTTGTCAGGGCAATGCTGGAGAGCGCACCCTAGTGGTGAGGACAGGGGAGAGCTGGTGGGCAGACCAACCCTGCAACTAACTACCCAGGCCATGAGCCAGGGTTATGAGTTGGCCCACCCCAACATCCACCCCATCTATGATCTGCTGGAGCATGTGAAGGGGCCAGTCCTGCAGACCCAAAGCTGCAGGATATCCACAACACAGAGCAACAACAGGATGTCCGAGAAGAGTTCTATTGAGGGCCCAGCATCAATAGCGTAGTAGAAACCAGACCAATGACTTTGCAATGAACCCTTGCAAGTAATGATACATGGACAAAAGGGTTTACTGCCTGACTCACTGTGTCACACTATGATGAGTTTCCATGATGAGATTGATTTTTCCTTTTTTCTCTTTAAGTTTTATTTATTTTATTTTGGGGTGGTTGCAAGGGCAGAGGAGGGATATGAAGGGGAAATGAATGGCATCGAGATGAATGATGTAAAAGACACAAAGAATAAATACAGAGTTAAAAAAATAAGCCATAGGTATTAAAAGTAAAAAATTTAAAAATTAGCTGGGTGTGATGGCACACACCTTTAAAATCAGCACCTAGGGGACAGAGGTTAGTGGATCTAGAGTCTCAAAAATCAAAACTTCAAAACAAAACAAAAAAATTTCACATCCATTGATGAAGAAAAAATATTAAAAATTTATCCAGAACATAAAACTTATTTCTATACAAATAATTCTGGCATATTATTATTTTTTAATGTTAGAATAACTTTAAAGCATACATGTTAAGTAATTGTAAAATTAAATAAGTCTAACAAAAATAGAATTATAACATGAGCTCAAATATAAAATGAACTTGTATTTTAGAACAAAGTTCTAGAAGACAAAGACAAATAATTACATCAACAATAAAACAAACTACAATCTAGTAAGTCATCAAGCACTTCAGAGGGGTGATTTTTATGAGCAAAATAGCAGTGTTTTTGGGGAGCAGATCTTGTAAGTCAGACTCTAGCCATGCCTGGCAGAACCCTGAGCATGCCCAGTGCACACCAAGATTAGATGCCAGGTATACAGGGGCTGCAGCCACAGGGCATGCTAGGTACTGCACAATAGAGTGGCTAGGCAGCCCAGAAGCTAGACAGTGAGCCACTGGAAATCTGAAGATGATACCCGATGAACCTCTGCCTTCCCCCAAGAATGGCTGATTCTAAGCCTGAGGTTCACTTGAGGAGACAGAAAATTCTTTAATTCTCTGGTGTATTTCTCAGAAAGATTATGAAAACAAAAAATTTGCTAGGCCTGATACACAAAGTTCAGAGGTTCTCACATCCCTGGCCTCCCATACGCAGCTCTCTTCTGCTGCCACGACCTGCCCCCCCCCCACCCAACACACATATCTAACATATCCTTGGTATGCTCTGAGCCCCATTAAGGCAGCTTCTGGAATCTAGGAGTTGAGTTCTGAGTACATAGGCCTAACACTAGTTCACACTGTTTCTCAATTCCGGAAGGAACTGGTTCACCTTTCCTCCCTGTTTCCATGACGCTGCTCTTAAAAGATGGATGACAGGGACTAGTGACATCTTCCTCATGCCCAGAGTTCACAGAGGGTTGGAACAGAAACACAAAAAAATGTTTGGATAAGAAAATGTTGCTGATTCATGTTAAAAAATAAATACTCCATAAACAATCCATTCTGGAAATTTTGATAGCAGAGAAACTGCACAGACCAATGGCTGATGCAGGGAAATGTCACTGTTCCCAGGGCCTGTGTCTTGAAAATAAAAATAAATAAATAAATAAATAAATACAGTAAAACAGAGGAGGGCTTGCAGCATTACCATCAAGGTGCTCTAGAACCTTCTTCATGGAGCCCATCAGCACTGTAATAAGAACACTGTTGGCTTGGGGTGGGGAGGTGTGCTTTAAACCTCATCCCTTCAGAGATGCAGAGCATCTATACACTTGGGTAAATCTAGGAAGTAACCAGGCCAACAACTAAATTCAAGGGGCCTGAGGACTCCTAGAACACAAGACTCCAAGGCTCATGACTAGACACTTGTGATGGTCAACGTTAGCTGTAAACTTGACAAGATCTAGAACCACCCAGGTAGACAAGCTTCTTCCACCCCCTCCCCCCAACCCTCTCCCCACACATTCATGAGGGATTGTTTAGATTAGGTTAGCCCTGGGCATGCCTGTGGGGATATCTTGCTTAAATTAACTGAGGTGGACAGACCCATTATAAAGGAGACCAGCAGGGTCCCTTGGCTTGAGTCTGGAACAGCATAAAAAGAAGCTAGCTGTGCCTTCCCCACTCTGCTTTCTGCATGTAAATGGCAAATGACCACACACAAACCCTCTAGCTGTTTTTGCCAAGTATTTTATCACAGCTGCAGGAAGAGAGACTGAGATGTCTCTGATCTCCCCTGCCCCCAGAGTTATCAGAATTACTGATGGGGCTTCCTCAGGTTGAGAAGTCTTTTAATGGCATCCCAGATATCCCCATGGCCCTATGTAGCCCATCAGCCAAGCACACAACCTTTATTATTGCCCCCATTGTATATCCCAAAAGCTCATTAAACAAACCACCTGAGCCCACCATCAGTCTTGTGGGAGGAGGAAGCTGCCTTTGTTCTTTCATTTCTTTTAAGAGGGTCTCACTCTGTAGTCCAGGCTGACCTGAACTCACTACATAGCTGAGGCAGGCAATGAGACTGCCCACCCTTCTGCCTCAGTCTCAAATGCTGGGATTACAGGATTATGCCACAACACCTCTCTTAATCACAA